AAAAAATAAGCATGCTAGTTTGAGACATGACATTAATGTAAATCAAAACACCATCCAAAACATTAACAACACAAAATATCAAAATTCAAACAGCTGCGTATTATGATATGGAGTACAATACCATGCAAATTCTCTTATTTATTACAAAGTCTCAACATTTTTATGCAGTATCAAAAGGTATCTATGTCTCTCCCCAACAACCCGGAGACATAAAATGTAAATATCAATTTCAAGATTCTCTTCCTTCATATATTCTCTCTTCCCCTTTTTGTCACAAATGACGAAGGGTACAATTTCAAACTCATTTTTAGCAAAAATATGTAACAACTTAAAAATGTTGTTAATAGCATGCAAAAGTATAATCAATGATTAGTAAACTTTTCCACATACTCGTTTTAATTTAAAATAGAGTAAATTGTATAAATGACCTATATGTGTAAAGTGTCACCAATTATTTGTAAGCAGGACTCCAAACTTTAAGTTTATGAGAAAGGACATGCAAAACATCATTGCTAATAAGTTTATTCTCCTACTTATGAAAGTCAAATCAATAAGCACATTAGGACCTTTAAATGAAGCTTATTTTGCTTGTATATTTTGATCTTTTCTTTTCTTTTCTCCCCCTAACTTTGAACATACTCTTTTCAGATTTTTCAATATTTTTGGAGCTCATCAATTATTTCGTATCTTAAGTACATGTCCTTCATTAAGAGAATAAGATGATCGTTGTAGTGAGGTTTATGCCAGTTAACCAAGTCAATTGACTATAGGCACCATGGTTTGAGATACCCTGCAGGCTCAATTGTTCGAGTGAAATAGGCTCTGAAGAAGAACATAAGATATTAAGCTTTTTATTATGAGGGGATATACTTGAGCTTAGGTCCGACAAATTTGGTCAATTTATGTTCAAAGTCACCTTACTAACACATGACTACCATCCCAAATCTCACACATCCGGTCAAGTCTCATTTACAATATCATAGTGTGTGTAGTACAGATGGTACATGAAGACACATATACTAAGTACTCCATAATAACCTAAGCAAGTAGTGGAAAATGTGCTACAACTCATAAATTTGGCCTATACATGGTCAGAACACACAAGTTCAATAATTTTATGTATCATGCTGTTGAAAAGATCCCACTCCCCAATTTATTATTATTATTATTATTATTGTATTTTTCATTTAATTTTTTTGTGCTTTTTTATATTTAAAAACGTGAAAGTTCCAAGCACAAAAATTGAAAAAATCACACAAAAAATAAACAAAATGTGCACATGCCAATGCAAATAGAATGAAGATGCACATGCAAGAAACAACTACCTAAAAAGTAAACAAATAGATGAGATGCATACACCATTCAATGACTCAAGTGACAAAGCACAAGTATACACAAAAATTACCTAATTAGTTACATAAAGACATGTTCTTATATTTAAGAGCACCGTGATATATTTCAGAAGTTTTTAGATCACTATTTTTCACCAAAATATGCCTAGTAGGAGAGCAATTCCCAAACAACTGTGTCACCAACCTGGTCAGTCGACTCACTTGATCAGTAAGGAATCAAATCTGATCTAGAAACTCCTAATTTTTATTCCTATTGAAGCTCTTGTTTCTATATTTAGTCGGGAACGTGTCCTAACTCACTAGAGTGAAAGCATGTAAGGATAAACCTAGGACCAATGTTGTGTGATCACTGATGTTTATTGGTTGACGAGTCCTACTCTGTCTGGTAGACCTTGGTCTTGCAAATCTCTTATTCTTAGGTTCTGGGTTAGGCACATGTTTAGGCTGGTCAGTGGCTGGGACAAAAGTATTCTTTGAAGTACTAGCCGTATTCTCTTTAAAACCTAATCCTCCCCTATTACCAGTTGACTTGCTCATTTGTGGAATGTTGTTTAACTTTTCAGATCCACTAGAAAAGTAAGAAATTGAGATTAGAATATTCTAGATCACTCAAAATATTTTTAACCTGGATTTCTAAAGTCTCATTCTTAGAGGTCAGCTCACTAACTTTTCTAGAGGACTTATCAAGCTCACTAGTGAGATTCTTAACCTAAGTATCTAAAGATTCATTCATTTATTTCAATTCACTCATAGTTGAGGTACATTCCTAGATGTACTTCAAAAGTTTTTCTTTCTCAAATGCTCCTTTGCCTTTGAATTTAAATCTTTATTAGTCGCAAGAATCTTAAGACTCTCCTCATACATTTTATCGTAAGCTTAATGGATATCTTTCTCACTTTCTCAATCATCTCCAGATTACTCACTACTATCTATGTCCTCTTCCCTCACACTTCCTTTGTCAGATCCACTCCCAGTCCTAGTAGTAAAGGCAACGTATTTCCCATGTCCTCACAAGTGGACCTCTTACTCTAATTATCCAAGCTAGACTCGTCATCAGCGAGAGTAACATCCATAACCTTATCTTAATTTCTACTGCTGTTAGTCACTCATTCCTCATATACCCAAAACTATGATTCTTGTAGCACCTCATTGATTTAGATCTATTCCTTCTTCTTTTTTGGTTGAAGGAGGGCGGTACTCACGTTAGTTTTATTGATATGCCCTCACTTGTGACGGAGGAATACTGCAGTTACATATGAGATTGCAATCACTGCAAACATTAAATGAGAAAGTACTACTTCCCTTACAATTAACAAATGGAAAGATAAATTTAAAGCAGTAAATATGAAAGTACTACTTCCATTACAAAGTAAGCTAATGCAAACAAAAATAAAATATAAAAAATCAAAATCTAATGTTGGATAGACCATATCTTTCAATCTATACAAGTGCCCTAGTATGTTGTGGTAAATCAGTTGGACTATAAACCTGATAACTCCTACGGTCCCAACCCTCTGAGGCAAGTGCATCGACAACGTGGTTCCCTTCTCTGTAGATGTGAGAAATATTAATCTCTATCTAAGGAGATGATGTTTATGATCTATCTGAGAAAGCCCTGAATAACCCATGGTCCTCCACCTCTAGTGATGCGATGAATGGTTGTAGTAGAGTCTGACTCAATCCAAAAACATGAAAGTCCAAGTTCTTCGGCCAATAGGATCCCATCTAGTATAGCTCTAAGCTCAACTTCCAGAATCAAACATGGGCCATACGATGTTGAGAATGCCCTGATATAATGCCCAATGTGGTCCCCACTGATGCCTTCACCACTTGCATGTCCGTCCTTAATGCATCCATCAGTGTTGATCTTGTAAGATCTCATTGGTGGAGTGCGCCAAACAACTATAATAGGTGGTTGCAGAGAGGGGAGAGTTATAGAAATACCAAAGAAGGGGTGAAATTGTTAGATCTCCTCACTAGTGCCCAATTCTAAAAGATCATCTCCATATGCGGAAAATAAATGATACTATAAACCCTCCAAACGATACGTCTGGCTACCATGCGAATCCTCCTATGCTTCGTATCATTTCTCTTGGTCCATAAAAACCAAAATGTCAGTAGAGGAATGATAACGCGAATATGTCCACAGTGAACGTACTGTCCAGAATACTTCCATCTCTGAAACCTTTGTCTGACCCACTCTCTTGAACAAATAGTAATCTGAAAAATATCCCCAAAATGCTTTCATACATGTTCAAAGATGCTGCTACCATTGAAGATATGATTGATGCTCTCAATCTCAGAACAAAATTAACATTGAGAAGCCAACTGACATCTAATCCTGCCCTGAATAATTATATCTATTGGGATAAGATCCTACTATAATCTCCAATAGAAGAATGAAACAGTGGTAGGCAAAATGGGACTCCACAATAGTTAATACGAATCTTGAACCTGGCGAACCGAATAGACTAGCTGCCATGATGATTTGGTAGTAAAGCTACCATCTGATATAATCCTCCAAACAATGTGGTCCTGGACATCTGCATGTAGAGGTATGGCCCCTATCTGCTCCACTTTGTCAGAAGGAAGAGCTTGTAATAGTCATCCAAAATCCTATCCATTGTCATTAAAGAAATCACGCACCCTCATAAATGTGTGCTGCCTATGTGAGAATAGAGATGCTAACGTGGACTCGCCCATCTAACAGTCATGCCAAAAGAAAATCTGACTGGTTCCAAGGTGCCAAGCAATGTGTGGCTCGTTCCGTGGCCCCACTGATTTTAGTCTCTTCCAATTAGGAAAGGTCGAATAGGGAACGGCTATAAGTGAAGTGTGTGTCCCTGTGCAATACTTATCTAGTAAAAAAATGAGCCCAAAGTGACCTCTAAGAGCGGAACAACCAACAGAGCTTCATGGAGAAGGTGTCTACCATATCCTGTAATCTCCTAAAGCCTAGACTACCCTCATCAGGAGGAAGGCAAATCTTCTTCTAGCTTCTCCAATGTAAGCGCTGTGCCTGATCTTTAGAACCCCATAGAAATCGTGTAAAGATACTCTCAAGTTTCTTTAGCATTGCTTTAGGTGGCTGCATAATTTGAAGTAGATATAATGGTATGGAAGAAAGTATTGATCTCATCAAGGTAATACGACCCCCAGGCGATAATAATCATGAGGCCCAACCTAAGATCCTGTTCCTGACCTTTTAGGTAAGATCATCGTAGAGGAAGCTCCTCTTATTCTCCTTGAATAAGGGAACCTACAAGTGATTAGCTACTGGTGAAGTTTAAACCTAATCAAAATATTCAACCTTTTGATCTGGCTAGTGGATGTCCGTCTGGGTAGTATAAGATCGCTCGTCTCTATTCATCAACGTCCTAGAAACCCCCTCGTAGTGCTCCAAACAGTCTAAAACCCACTTGATAGACTATTTCTATCTGTTGGCAAAAATAATCAAATCATCAGCAAATGAGAGATGTGAGACTAGAGTACTACCTCTATGCCAGTAACACATGCTGGGATATTTTTGAAACTTTTATGTGAGTAGGTGTGAGAAGTAATCTACAGCTATGATGAACAAGGATGGTGAAATGGGATTACCCTGTCTGAGTCCTCGTGACGAGGGAAAGAAACCATATGGGTGGCCATTTAGGAGTACAGAGAAATGGCACATCGAAATGCATCTCTTGATCCTATAAATCCAAATGCATCCAATACAGAGTAAATGAAGTTCCAATCCATGCAATCGTATGCTTCAGTCATGTCTAATTTCAACATAGTGTTGCCTCCTCGCACTCTATCATCAAGAGTATAGAGCATCTCCTGAGCTAATAACACATTGTCACCAATCAGGTGGCTAGAGATGAATCCACTCTGTGGAGGAGAAATAATGCATGGCAGTAGTGTACTCAGCTAAGTGTTCAAAAGTTTAGTAATAATCTTATTGAACATCGTACATAAGCTGATGTAAAGTCAGTCCATCTACAAGCACCATTCTTTTTAGGGATCAAGACTATAGAAGTAGCAGTAAATCCCCGTGGAAGATGACCGTCGTCAAAGAAATCCAAGATTGCCTTGTATACCTCCTTCTGAATAATATCCCAACAATGCTGGAAGAACTTGGATGAGAACACATCTAGACCCGCAACATTGTCAACATCTATACTAAAGGTAGCCTTCCATACCTCATGAATTGAAGGGGGGTGGTTTAGAGCAATATTATCATCCTTCGTCAAAAGTTTGGGAATGACATCAGAACGAATGGGATACAAAGGCTATAGAGAGACAGATAAGAGACTCTGGTAGAATGCAACAATTGAAGTATGAATGTCAGTAGGGGTAGCTAAAACTTTCCCTTCCTATATCCTGATGGACCTGACATGCAACGTGATCCAGCGTCCCTGAACCATCGTATGAAAATATCGAGTATTGTGATCTCCCTCACATATCCATCGTGAACCAACCTTTTGCTTCCAAAAGCGCTCCTCATTAGATAGGTACTGATTCAAGGTTACCTGAGTATGATGTAGTGAACTGCGATGCTCCAATGTAGGATCATTGTCATATACTAACTCTGTCTCACCAACCTTATTCTCGGCATCCCGCACCCATTGGAAAATATCTCCAAACACTTGTCGATTCCACCAAGAGCCGTCATCCCTGTGAGATGAGTAAGGAGTGACCACTTTTGAGAGACAAAGGCTAGAAAATCAAGATGCTTGATCCAAACATTGAGAAATATAAACGGTCTAGGCCCCAAATCATCATCAGAATTCTACTAAAGGTGAGTGATCAGATGAAGTACGATTCAAATGCCTCACAGTAAGTTGTCGATAGAATGTTGTAGCTAAAGAATTAATGAGTACCTTGTCCAGTCTTTTTCTGCCCCGACCATTGGTCCAAGTGTACCGATTTCCAAGAAAACCAACGTCCTCCAACCCACAATCTAACATCATATCAGAGAAGCCAATAGTACCTTGATCACGAGTATTGTGACCAATATGATCACCATAATGTGTAATGATGTTAAAATCTCCCTCAACTTCAACTAGCCAAGGGTCGTCCATATCGAGGGAAATGTGGTGGAAACTTGCCCACAAATCCCTCTTGACAGCAACATTACACGAGGCAAGGACAGGAGTCAGATGGATGGGATGCACTAGTCTGGGATCTTTAATTCTAACGTGAAGGAACTAGGGATTATCAACAATAGTAGTAATGGTAGTCGCCACATCTAGAAAAGCTAAATCTTGTTCGACTCATTCTGAACTCCCGTGTTGAATCTCAGACATTACCAAATAAATGCAAACTTGTACTGACTGACAAAAGGTTCTAATATAACCAAGAGATAAACCTAATGGAGCTGAATAAGCCTTCTTAGTCATCGTCGAGTAGCTACACTAGCTACACCTCTTACATTCCATATGATGACACTCATAGGGATGGGAAATGTAAGGAGGTATCATGTGACTGATTCCTAATGATCCTCCTGCTAGGGTATGGAATATCAGTAGCCTGCGGGTGTTTTTTCCATATAACCTTGAGGAAACCATCTCTCTCTGTCCATCCAGCCAATCCAACCAAATCTTCAGTAGATGACCTACGGGACACACCCTGCTGGTGTACCTCAATATGTGCTGTGTTTTCTGTATCTGATTGTTCAGAATGCAGAGAATGAATAGAAGCCTCTATGTTCTGCTGACAAATGGGAGGACCAGAAGCATTAGTGCGGCCAGGTGTGGGACCTGGTAAATTTCTGACCATTGTAGTTGTACCTCTGATTCAACAAATACATGTGGTCACTGAATCATATCATGAGCCAAAGGTTCAAAGTAAGCATTGGAACTAGGAATGGCAATATGTGAAGGAGTCAAAGCTGATGTAGTGGAAGTCGAAGGGCTAAAACTGATCGGGACAATTGTAGTAGCAACTGACTAATCTGTTGGAGGAACAACTTGTGAAATAGCCAACTGAATGAGAGAAGTACTAAAGGGTGGATCTACACAACTATGGAGCAGAGCCTGAGTAACATTGTGTGAAGAGCAACTGAACTAATAGCTGGTGTAGTAATACTAACTATAGGAGGGACCTGCTAAGCAATTGTCTATCTCTGAGTATGTATAACACCTGGAACAGGTAAATCAAGACCAACTGTAGTAGGAACGGTCTGTGGAACATGGGCACCTGAAGTATTGGCATTCTACTATTTCCTCTGATCTCTACGAACTGGGGTCCTCCTCTGATGCGGTTTAGCCTCAACAACCTTTCCCTTACCATTATCCTTAGTCAAGATAACAAGCCGAGGAATAGGGTCACCAACTGGGATAGGAGGAGGTGCTACTGGTCCGGCTCCAAATTTACACTGATCTTTTGTGTGCCCAAAATGTCTACATCTATAATAAAATTTTGGCTTCTTTTCATATATAACTTCTTGCCAATACCTACCATGATTCTCTCTCTCAATCCAAATTCTGTCAGGAAGATCATAATCCAAATTTACTTCCACACAAACCCTATCCTCACTGGGACGACGAAGGTCAGATGTTGCCTCATCAATGTACAATGGCAAGACAATAGCTTTAGCAATAGCATATAGACTGGTCTTAGCCTAAAAGTGAATAGGCAGGAGAGAAAATGATACCTAGACTAGAGCAATTGGGTTTTCTTGCAATGGACTAAAACTCAGGGTCCATTTAGAGACTCACATGGGAGATCCATCAATATACCAAAAAGGTTTTAAAAACAAACGTGCATAGTTATCCTTATGTGCCAAACAAATTAAAATGTGTGTAGCATCAATTAAAAATTATCATGTACCTTAAGCATGGGTGGTTGTTGGTGTACAAATTTGCCAACAAGAATGAATTTATATACTCAGCTAGGATATCCTCATCTGCCTCCGTAAATAGAACTACAGGTTCACCATGATGAATGAAGGGGTACCTAGAGACCAACTTGTGATCCGCAAACTCTTATGGTGTTCTAAGGACATGAGTAAAGGACTTTTTTTGACTCCTCTCAGCCTAAGATACAACTGGTACATTACCAACTACTACAGCATAAGATTTAGGACTAGTGTGAGCATTGGTTGTAGCTGTAGTAGCCCGTGGAGTTGCACGTAGTGGTGGGAGCTGCCTACGTGTTGGAGGAGTGGTGTATTGGTAGTACGTTCAGTTTGAGACTTACTAGGTGCTAACATGGAGATCCCCAATGCTTTTCCATTCTCTAGAGCCACTTGATCAATTCTTGGCACTAAAAGATGATCAAAATAGTAGGTAGGGCTACCTCGACGTTTGTGCTACTTGGCACACTTCCCAATGTAAATTTTTTATCATATTTTGTCAGAGTGAAGGACTTTCCAAGGATTTTTGGGTATCCTGGATACAATAGCAGTGTCAAATCAGTTGAATTTTGTGTAGAAACAACAGTAATCACTGCTTCGATTTGCATGCCTTGAGGCACAAATTCTAATGCAGCATTTTGGACCAAATTGGAGATACTCCAAAAGGTTTTGGAGCCTAGGGAATCCAATGGTGAAGTCAATTTGACCAAATTTGTTTCAGAATTGGGAAAAATTGAGTCAACAGTTCGTTATGGATGAAGAGCAGTATTTGACCCCAAAATTTGGCAAACGGGGGCTGTAATTTCTGCAATTGAATGGTTACCTAATGTTGTGAATTTGATTTTTCCTAAGTTGATTTGAAGGTTAGGATCCAATGGAGCCTCGAATTGATAGAAGAAATGCAGCTTCATACAGTTGGACATTTCTTTATGCCAAATCTGAAATTATTTCATTCGACTGATGAATTGAACCAATTGATCCATGACCCATAGTGGTAGCAACATGAAATGAATGTTGGGGATGCAATTTTTGAATTAGGGCAGTGGATTAATGTTAATTGGAAGGGGTTTTGAGTTATCACCGCGTGCATATACATTCCCCGAAGAAGGTCAGCTCATAAGTTTGGAGAGATTCAACCAATTCTTCCACTTTAATAGAGTTTAAATCCTTACTCTCCTCTATCGTCATAACTTTAGGCTGACATTGCTCAGGTAAGGATCTAAAGATTTTTCTAACTATTTTAGACTCCGAGATTCTCTTATCTAAGTTGAAGTTAGAATTTACTATGTCATTTAGCCTCGCATAAAAGAGATCAAAGGTCTTATCATCTCTCATTCTAATTTCCTAAAACCAAGTGGTCAGCATCTGCAACTTAGAATTTTTAAAGACCTGAGTTTTCCTCATGTGTAGTCTGTAATATATTCCAAACATCTTTCGGAACCTCACACATGGATATTCACCTAAAAAGGTCAGGGAAAGTTGCCATAAAAAATGCATATAGCACTTTGCTATTTCAGTTGTACTCATCTAAGTTAGATTTCGACCAATTAGCAATGAGAATGAGGTAACAACTCCATTAACAGTGCTATAGGGGGTAGGCTAACCATTCTGAACGCTTAACCATATACACTCATCCATCGACTTCAGGAAAGCTCTTATTCTAACCTTGCAGTAAGCATAATTACTACCATCAAAACAATGCAGGATAGATAATGAGCTACTTATCTAGACAAATTAAGGTCAGGACATGTCTTTAGGCTCTGATACCACTTGAAATACCTCAAGTGCGCTAAGTTACCACTTTTGAAATACCAGATTAGATTATTTATTAGTTCGACCTTATGTGCGAAATTAATCTAATAAAAGAAACACGTCACTTTTTAATAGATTCTGGATGATTAAACATACAAGTCCAATTCCCTATGTTTGAATACCGTAGTTCCTAATATGGAAACAATAAATAACACCAATATTGTTAATGGAGAAACCCATCTAGGTAAAAACGTCGAGACTAAGCCACTTATCTCCACTATAGATAATGAATAGTACAGTTCGATGTTGTCTAGCCAACTCCACTATACTTTTCGATCTACTTCCTGTAATCTCCAAGATATTGTTGTCTCTTCCAAGTTCTCGATTTTGTACAATTATCTCTTCCAAGTAGATAACTAAGAATAACCAATTCTTGTTCTTATTCCTACACTTGTAGTCCAACCTTCCTCAATCTTCAGCAACCTCTGAAGTTCTAATTGAGAAAGTACATTCCTCGTTGCACAAAGGAAGTGGATGTTTTGGATTCAAGAATTTGATGTTTTCCCAAATATGTGGTTGTAGGATCTCAAGAATCAAAGGATTGAATCAAGGTTTGAATAAGCTTTTGATTACCAAAGGATTGATATGAATATGATACGTATATAAGGTACAATGAACAACCACCTTAGAAAATCGTGCAAGGCTTGGATATTTATAGTTAGGGATGTTTAGGTATTATAGGTTGTGTAAAACCATCCAAAATTGTGAACTAAGGACGAGCGGAAGATCTGTGGCTTGAGAGACGTGGCAACGACAAGCGAGCGAGAGGCAATATTTTTTCTCTCTCAAGTATTGTCATGGCGAGAGGTGAATGAAAATGTAGCATGTCTTCTTCCTTGTCCAAACTTGATCTCTAACTACAAGCTACCTTGTCCAACTATACATTATTGCTCCTAACTCTTTGACTTTTACACGTATTCAATTTAGTTCTTTTTGTTCACAAAATCGCCAATTTCAACATAAAACCTAATAGAAAGAAATTATTAAAATGGACTTTGAGCCCTATATCCATTGAATGCTTACGAATAGCAAAGTCATCAGAATGGCAGTCCACATTTTGAAACTGACAAGGACACAATAGTTATATATCATAACGGATGTTAAAATGATCCTAAATGTCACCTAGATCCCTCTTGCTAAGATTGGTGAAAATTTTCAAGGCTTCAACACTAACATTAAGGCTATCTAACTTACTCGAAGGTTTGTACACTGTCACGTATCTTAGCCCTAAGTTGGGAACTACTTTTTGACTTAAAAAGTTCTGGGTTAACTCCAAAACTAGAAGAATGAGGCAATACCTCAGTACGTAAAACTTCTTCTTCAGAAGAACTAGCACTAGAAGGGGTATCCTTGAGTCTATAACTTTCGGCCTCAGAGTCACGAGAAATATTTTAGGAATCACTTTGGGAAGAATATGTAATAAAAAATTACAAGCATAAGATAAAAGCAAAACACTTACCTAAAGAAAGTTTTTCAAAAAAGATAAATGGAAACAAGAAAGAGAATTACCGAAAAATAAATATAGCACCGTAAGCAAGAACAACAAATAAAAAGTAGGAAAGGTACTCATGAAAGAGAAGGATGTATTTATAGGTTCTGACGAGAAGTTTAAACTGTTGGATTATGTCAGTAATAATCATGGTCGTTCAAATTATTCTAGGTAATTACAACCATTGAATATTAAGGAGCAACTGAGGCAAGATTATGTGTAGTCAACATGAGCATTAAATC